TGAATAAAATCACATTTGCAATCATGCTGATTTTAGTGGTGAAAACTGGCACTCGTCGTGTGATATTGACTAACTTTATTTCTGTGGTATTTTTATGCACAAAGGCGTTTAGTCTTTCACAAAACATAGCTAACGTAGGGACATTATAACTAGTCACCATATTGATTTACAGTCTTAAATATGTCCAGCGCTTTTTTTTAAGTCCGGTTCCTGTTTTATACAGTCTATGGTCTGGTCCAGCATTTATCGGGTTGTGCGTCAGTAATAATGATCCGTGGGGAAACATGGTGTTTCGTGTGTAGTTACAGTAAATGGACTAAACAAAGCCTCGAGGCAGATGATTTTTTTGTATTCGAGTTACTCGAGGTATTCGAGGAATCGTTTCAGCCCTACTCGTGATGGCTCATGCTGCGACTAAACAGTCTCAGAAAAATGGTTGCAGGGATCTCATTTTTCATGGTATCTTCAGATTTGACATAGAAACTCATGAGACATGTGACTTTCAAACAAGCGGCAACTTCCCCCTCTGTCTCGTGAAGCCAACAAGGAAGTGACTTAAACTGTAATTCATCAGCTGGCCGCTAGAGGCTGGATGCAAAAGGGAGTCAATCCCAGAGACTCCCCATGTTAAAATGTCCAACTTTACAGCAGAAAAAAACATGTTTACAGCTTGGTTCAAAAAATGATTTTGGTCTATATAGCTAATTTTGCCCTTGATGACAACTGTGAGGGGGGTGATTTTTTTTATAACCCATCCATTTAAATTATATTAAACCTTAAAGTTCTGCATAATTAAGGGTGTGGCCACTTGAGTGACAGGTGGATTGCCGCTGCTGTCACCACCGTCGAGCTAGGTGGGTGTGGCTTCAGCAACCTGCTCCCGCCTCTTTTTTCGATTATCCGGGAGTGACGCGCTGCCAAGATGGCGAAGCATATCTTTTTGAGCATCAGCAACTCTGGATGATGGATCTTTGGATTTCCAAAGACCCCAAAATTGTGTGTGTAGCACACTGTTGTCAGGAACTGTTCCCATTTTAAGTTAGATAGGTCATTTTCAGCTGTGAGTTCCAAAATGGGGGGTGCAGGTTAAACAAATAAATTTTGCTTGGTTGGAACAGCAGCTATAATTATGTCTCTACTGGTTTCTCTGTTTTTGCCACAGGATTGACATCCCATGGTAACTAGGATTTACACAAGCTTCAGTCTGGATCCAGAACACCTGAGAAGAGATGATGCCAACCCCTCAGAGGACCTCAGATGATGCAAACCATGAAACAACATACAGAACTACCAAATTTTGCTATAAGTTAAATTGCATCATATAATAACTGCTGTTAAAAGTGTTCATCATCTGTTTGATTACATCTTTAATTTATTTTTCCCTACATTTCTTCCATATGTGCATTAACTGACAGTAACCACTAGTGGTCGACCGATATTGGTTTTTTGACAGCCGATGCCGATGGCCGATATAATTGTTTTTATTTTAATTAATATTTAAGAAATTTGAAATAATTTGAAAATGGATTAAAAATTAGTAAAATAAACATACTTATACTTTAATGACAAGTATTTCTCATAAATAAATAAATTTAATAAAAATATAATTAAAAAGGAAGTAAACTGTAATCAACAGAGCACTCAGTATTCTGGGAAGTTTGTGCGCATTGGGAATCATATTTTTTCAAATAAAGCCAAGGTAACACTCATTTTACATACAGCACACAGTGAAAATGACATGAATATGAAAGTGGGCAAATGCATAAAGTGCAGCATAATTTTAAATCACAAATTTAATGTTTAAAGCATTCAGTTTGCACAGATCGAAAGTCACGCAGACAACACATGATCATGCAGGCCACATGCACACTTGATTGCAGTTGATTGCACAGACACTATTTAAATTGAACTGAGCTGGATGATGACATCACTGAATTCAATGATGAACTGCCTTTAACTGAAAAATGAGTGTTTACTATTATAATTTTGCATTTTCAATGAAGAACTGCCTTTAATTGAAAATTGAGTGTTTACTATTATAATTTTGCATTATTGACAATATTATCCTAATTAATGCTGTACAGTTGCTTTGACACAATCTGTATTGTTAAAAGCGCTATATAAATAAAGGTGACTTGACTTGCACACTTCACAAGATCTCACAACTGGATCCGACTAAGTTGGCAAGGTTTTTGAAATTAGATGTTTATTAGTCATTCAAAGATTTGTTTAAATTATGTAAATGCATATTTGCTGAATGCTGACGGCAAACGAGCAAGTATTATAACATTTGCCTTTCTATTACTAATAATAACTTTTTGTATACATTTTAATTCCTTTGTTTAACAGTTCTATCAGATTATTAGACAGACTTCTATCCGTATTAGACCGAACTGTTAACAACGACAGTGAACAAAAGGGAGAATGTGAGCACTGTGCTCAGGCGCTGCAGCTCTCAGCGCCGTCAAAATAAGAGCCCCGTCTCGAACGCATCGGCCAAACAGAAAAACTTATCGGCCAACGCCTATATTTGAAAAAATGCCAAATATCGGCCGATATATCGACCTTAGTTAGATCTAGTAACATCTTACAGTGAGTGAACAATATATTTTTAAAACATTCATTAATGTTTGTGAATGTTATTTAATACAAACACTTGATCATTCATGTTTGTTCATTGTGCATTAAATAATTTTAACAGATTGAACTTTGAAATTAACCCTAAGAAGAATAATTGCCATATAACTATTGTTTATTGTTAGGTCATGTTATCTAACAAATAAAATCTTATTGTAAAGTGTTTTTAATACTACAGTTTCCATCTATTTGATATACACTTAATATATGTAATCTTATGTAAATTTATTATAAAAGCTATAAAGGTTTGTTATTTACTGAAAAGTTATATTTTAGCTGTTGTCAATG